TCAAGGTGGGAACTAAACCTTGCTCAGTCTCTCAAGAGGCACCAAATCTAGCAGAAGCCTTTACAGGTGTCACCCCACAATGTGAGGAACACAGAGCTGAGCAGATGTGCTCATGCACGGGTGACAGGCAAACCTYTTGTCTCTTTTACTGGCTCCCTTCAGAGCATGGCATCCATCAGTGCCTAAAGATCCATCCCCTTCCAGGACCATGACAGAACAACCCAGCAGCAGAATTTGCCCTTGGATCAGGGCAGCTTAAGCTGTTGTGCACAAAGTCCAAGGAGCAAGGAGGAAAAAGCAGGAATGGTGGAAAAACCAGCTGTGCTCCACTGCWTCTGTGTTTGGAAACACAGGCTTTGAAGTAGCCTGGGAATTCTGGAAAAGATCCACATGATGCTTTAACAAATCACCTCTAAAATTTAAAGCAGAGCTAAGCCAGGCTGTTCTGTAACTGTTAAAGCACAGATTGAAAAATCTCTCTCACAGTAAATGCAATAAAATCGGTAGTAATGCGAGTTTAATGCAGGATATAAAGGAGTGGCCACAGACTCCTGTCAGCCCTGTTCTYTGCAAAAGCCACCCCTCTCCATGGGACACACCTCACTCTTGGCTTCTCCGGGGTCACCTGCTGCTGCATAAGACACTTTGGCCCCCTGAAGTAGCTCAGCCTTCTATTTAAGGCTCCCTGACCTGGAATTCCAATTCCAAATGTCCAAGAAAACACTCGAGTAGCAGCAGCAGACACCATCAACTACTGTTTAGGSAGGAACCATGGCAATAGATATAACAACAGTTTCCTAAATCAAATTTTGAATCAAACTCTGCCTTAACTCCAGCCCACAAGATTTAAAGCACATTCCTTGTGTGAATTAGTCCTTAAGATTGTTCCAGGCACCTTTAGGATTGCACAGACCCACCCCATGATGTGACTCCTCAGCAAGCTAAAAAAACTGATTCTGCTTCCACAGAAATGTCCCAACAAATTACTGGTCTTCTCCTCTAACAGACTTTAGCAGGGATTTCATTCCCATCTACTACCCAAATTTTCCAATTCCCAGATTTGAAGAGGTAACACATATAATCTTAATTATATTCTTAAAACTGAAGTTCTCAGGAAAGTTTTCCAAGGAATATTCTGTGGTTCATTTTGTCAGCTCCTAAGCCTGTGATATATCCAACTCTCTGTCAGGAGTCTCAAATAGCTTAAAGAAAAACAGTGAAACAAGGATGCTACACAGGAACATCAAGCTATACACAATCCTTCCTTCTCCTTCCCAGCAGCATTGCCTGACCTGATCAAATATCACAACCACTGCAGACACACAGTTTGCAGGGCAGCAGKTCTTTAGCAAAGACAGCATTTGCAAATGGACACTTCACAGCAACTGGAAAAGGACTGCAGGAGCATTTCCCCTTCCCCCAAAGCTCGCACAGGAAGGGGTCAGCAGGCAGAGGGGGTCCCCAGCTGTGTGCTCAGCTAATGCAGCACATGTGCCATGACACTGYRCATKGGGGAGGTGAGTCCCAGGCTTGCARCCCTTCAGCTGAATGCCCAACAYCYGGCTCTGCACAAGGCCTTCTGTGCCTGGCTGTGCATCCCAAAAAGATGCTCAGRCATTTGTGTTGGGATTTGGGGAAAAAATAGTTGAAAAGGCACAGTTAGGAAATATAGGAGCTCAGGTTCCCCCTTCACAGGGAGGAAAATCCAAGAGGTTGCTCCCAGTTAGTATCAAGGACATTATAATGGGAGCAGTAAAWTCCCCACAAGGTTTGAGGTCACTGAGTCTTTCCTTTATGGGCCTCCACCTTCATATGCTCCAGAACCTTTCCAAAGTCCATCCACTGTGCTATTGCCCAGATGAATAATAAATACGAGCCAGTGGGACCCAAACAACCCAGGCAGGGCACAAAGAGTGTTAAGTGAAGCCTTTCTCTCCTTCTTACAGCCAGACATAAAGAAGAAAAATACATCCAGAAATCCACCAAGCAGAAATCCTGTTTGAAGCTGCTCCTCTCCGAGCTGCAGAAGCCGGGTGAGATCAGCACATTTCTCAGGCAGTGCTCCAAAACTTCACCTTCAGAAAGCCCTCGGTCTATTTTAATTACCGACCTCTGAGCATCCAGGACAGTGGAGCAGCAGTTTCCGCAGAGAGGGATGCAAAGTCTCTGCACATCAAACACAGCAGCTCAACTTCACAGGGATTTATCACTAAAAAGCAGTGTCAGCCCTGCACAGCTCACCCTGAAAGGCAGCCTCGCTTTCCAGGAGCCTTGGACACACTGGGAATGATGGGAGGCTGGCTGMATCGCTGCCCCATGGGCAAACCTTCCATGGGATCTGCAGAACACCTCAGCCCAGAAAAAATCAGCAGAAAAGGCAAAGCTTTGTACATGTCACAACAGAAACCCAGAMTGRTTTAGGYTGGAAGGAACCTGAAGGCTCATCTCATTCCACCCACCCCTGCCAGGGCAGGACAYCTTCCACTGTCCCAGGSTGCTCCAAACCCTGTCCAGCCTGGCCTTGGACACTGCCAGGGATCCAGGGRCAGCCACAGCTTCTCTGGGCACCCTGTGCCAGGGCCTGCCCACCCTCACAGGGAACARTTCCTTCCCAATATCCCATCTAACCCTGCCCTCTGGCAGTGGACAGCCATTCCCTGTGTCCTGTCCTTCCATCCCTTGTCCAAAGTCCCTCTCCAGCTCTCCTGGGGCCCCTTTAGGCTCTGGAAGGGGCTCTCAGGTCTCCCCAGAGCCTTCTCTTCTCCAGGCTGAACACCCCCAGCTCTYCCAGCCTTTCCTCACAGGAGACATGCTCCACTATCTCGACACAAGAACAATTCTCTAAACACACAAAATTAGGGTAGAAGGTGAAATTTCCCCTCTCTTCTTATATACTTAATCAGCACAATGAACTGCTCGAGATAAACACATTATCCCAACTTGTAACAAACACACCCAGGGGCACAGCTGGGTGCTGGGAGCAGCCCCTGAGTGCTGCTGTCAGTTTGCACCTGTGACAGATGCCAACTTCATCTCCCATACCACACCAAAGCCACTGCTTCCCCATCAACTTTGGGAAACAAATAACAACAAGTGAAGGCTTGAGTGACTCAAACAGAAACAAAGCAGGTGATTTTCCCAGCACCAAACACCTTGGTCCCAGTCTGCCTGCTGAAAAAGGTCTCAGACAAAATACTGAAGCTGAGCTTTGGAGTGTGGCACTGAAGGAAAACCAGGCTTTGCCACACCTCCCTTCCCAAACAGATCCTGGGGCTTCTCTGTTCTCTGGAAAGGCCTGGCTCTCACGCCTCCCCAAATCCTTTGGCCTCCAGAAAAGAATCAGAAATGAGATGGATGATCTCTCCTTTAGCTGATACAGGCAGCTCACCCGAGGTAAAGGGAAAGGAGGAACACAACTGGATGTGGAACATTTCAMAGAGAGTCAAGAAGGTCAATTTACTACTTAAATAAAACATTGCTGGAAAACACCAAACAGGTCAAACCCTTCCTTCTGCCCTTTGCAGAAGGAAGATTAAATCCTTTTCTTTCCCCTAAGCTCTTTCAAACAAGACAAATCCTGATAATCTGAACACCAACAAGGGGTTAAGAGACAGACAAAATATGAAAGTTAGACTACTGGAGTRCAGTGCTTTCTTGAAGGCCTGGAGCAAACAGTTCCAAGCTCTGCTGTCAGGTCCCTGACCATGTCAGGAGCAAGGCTGGACACGAAAGAGCTTAAGCCCAGAGATTCTYCTTCTCCTCCTCCTCCTCTCCCAGAGGAGATCCAGCCCCACAGAGAAGTTTTCCGGCTGACACCAAGGGAAAGCAAACCCATCTCCTGGGTCACGGGCTGCAGGTTCACTCAGCGGAACGCGTTTGGTTCCCAGGCGTGACACTGGAGCCGAGGACGCTGTCAGCCGGACCACGCTGACAACAGCAGCGGCACGAAGGCCAAAACAAGTCCGGACAGCCCTGGGGAGGGACGGGAGCCATGGATCCCCGGCACACCCGTGCTCGGCGATGCGGAGGAGGAGCCCACGGCGCACAGGGAAGCGTTTGTTATGATGGAACAACGCTTATCTCTGCCGAGGGGGGTGGCAGCTGCTACTACGCTGAGGCTGGAGGGAAGCGGGTCCCAACACAAGTGCCAAACACTTATTTCCACTTTTACCTGCACGAACCCAAAATTTCTACCACAAACAGCTTTGCTGGGGCCCTTACTGAGGGTGATGAGCGGCTGAGGTGCCTTCTTACCCCTCCACGACGCCTTCTCACCCCTCARAAGTTACCTTCTTATCCCCAGACTGCCTTCTCGCCCCTAGAGCCCCCCTTGAAGAGCGGGGCACAGCGATACCAGCCCTGCCACCGCCCCCCGCTCCGGTTCCCCTCCCGGGCAGCCCCGACCGGGGGCAGAGCTCCGAGCTTTCGAGGAACGACGCCAGCAGCGAGGCTGGGGAGGCCCGGAGGGACTCGCSGCCCGGCTCCGGCCTGTGCCGGCCCAACCCGGCAGCCACGGAGCCACCGCCTTCCCGTTCGCCCCGCCGGCCGGGCCCCGGAGGGCCGCGGCTCCCAGGGCCGTGCCCAAGCGGGGGAGCGGAGCCTTCCCCGCCGCCCGTCGGGGAGGCCGCAGCGGGGAGCCGGGGACCTCGAACGGCCGCCGGGCCGGGGCAGGCCGAGCAGTCCCGAGGGGAAGCGCGGCCGCCGCGCCGCGGGCAGGGCAGGGCAGGGCAGGGCAGGGCAGGGCAGGGCAGGGCAGGGCCCGCCCGGGACCCACCTGCGTCCATGGCGGCCCCGCCGAGGCTGCGGCCGCCGCCGACACTCACGCCCGGCGCGGTCCTGCGCTGCTGCTGGCGCGACGCGCCGCGTCCGGCCAATGGGAGCGCCGCTCGCCGCCGGCCCCCGCGTCCATTGGCTGTCGGTGGCTCTCGTCACGACTCGGTGCGCCGCGCCGCTGTCGCCGTGCTATGGGGGCTACCATGTTGCCGTACRGAGAGGCAGCGCGGAGCCTGGGGAGGTGGTGGGCCGGCGGCGGGGCCGGAGCTGGAGTGAGACGGCGGCGCACACTGCGGGAGCTTTGGTTCTTGCGTAGAACGATGGTGGGCGCGTCCTGTCACACGCATACCTAGGGAAGGTGTGATAAATGGGCGCCGCCATCGTGTTGTACGGAGCCGGCCGAGCCCCGCCCCTCGTTCCCCGTGATGGTAACCGCCTCCACCATGCTCGCGCCACTCGGTTACGCCTTTCACGGCTCGGCTGCCACGGATCGAGCGGCTCGTCGGGAGGCGGACGGCCAGCAGCACCGACGAGGCAAGCGAGAGGCGCCGGGAGCGAACCCCTTCTTTCCCCACCTGCCCCGCGCCGTACGGCTGCAYCCCGGCCAAAATGGCGGCGGCCATGTGGCGGCCGCCATGTTGTGCCGTACAGAAACCCCTTCCCCAGCGGCGAGGGGCGCYGGGGTGACCCGGCTCCGCCATCTTGCCGTACGGCGGCGCGGCGGGGCCGGGGCGGGCCCGGCCGGCCGAGGGCGGCGGCGGCGGCCGGAGATGGTGATCTGCTGCGCCGCCGCCAACTGCTCCAACCGGCAGGGCAAGGCGCGCCGCGGCGCCGTCTCCTTCCACAGGTAAGGGCGGCCCGCCCGGCTCGCCGCAAGTGCCGTGGCCGGGCCGCCCGCGTCCTAGTCCCGTTGCCCCCGCTGGGCCCCCGCGGCAGCAGCTGCCCTTTGTTTCCCTTAGGGGAGACCGGCTGGGGCTCCCGGAGCCTCCAGCACCGGCCGGGCAGCGGGAGCGCCCCTCGGCGCGGGGCCTGGGCCCTCCCCGGCCTGTCACCCCGACCCTTCCCCAGGGTGAGCCCCCGCGGGCCGCGCTCCGCCCCGTCCCTCCCTGGGGATGCTGCCGGAGCTGAGTCCCCGGGGAAAGCCCCCATCGCGCCAGTCCCACTGSACACGGAAGCTGCTTCCCCTACTCAGGGGCTTCCTTCCACTCCAGGCATTYGTACACCTAATTAAATGTTATTAAACAGCCGGTGTAAGCAGCGCCCGGGTTACGGAGGCAGCGCCGGGCAGCGTGTTGGCTGAGCTGGGTGTTTTGGTGGCGGTCACGTCCCCCTTCCTTTTGGACAGGCTGTTCCTCGTGGGGCTGGTGAGCTGAATAATGGGTCGGTTGCCGATGGAAATGGAAACACCACCTTTTAGTCTTGTGCTTTTTGTGGAACTGTTGACATAGCGAATGAATACCAAATATTTCAGCCCGAAGTGAAATAATTTTTAAATGAATGTAATTTAATTCATAAATGAGCGTAACTTACCAAAAAACAACTTTCCCCAGAATCAACTAAATCGAACCATCTCCTTGGACTTGGTCATCTTGAAGGTCTTTTCCAACCTCAACAGTTCTATGAATTCTATGGTGGTGTGACTCTCAAACCCTTCTGATTTTGAAAACGTAGCTTATTTTTTCATGGGTTTCATCTGTTCCTTCTCTAGATTCCCTCTGAAGGACTCAAAGCGCTTGATTCAGTGGCTGAAAGCTGTTCAGAGAGACAACTGGACTCCCACCAAGTATTCCTTTCTTTGCAGTGAGCACTTCACCAAAGACAGTTTCTCCAAGCAGCTGGAAGACCAGCACCGGTTGCTGAAGCCCACTGCTGTCCCTACCATCTTCCAGCTCGTGGAGAAGAAGCACGACAAGCTGGATTATGTCAGGAGCCGAAGGAAAATAGCCAGGCAGGTGCCGGTGCGGGATGGGGAGCCCCCGCGGGAAGGAGGCGGTGAGGTAGCGCAGAGAGCCCCGTCTTCTGGAGAGGACTTCATGGTGATGCAAGGGACGAAGGAGATGGAGGAGGCCACTCTGAAAGAGGAAATGGGATTGATGTCCGGGGAAGAAGAGGCCCTCCACAGCCAGCTGGATGGCCCTCGGAGAAGGACGTTAGGGGATAATTTGGGTGCAAAGGCCGGAGCGCAGAAAAAGCCCGAGAGGTCTCCTGTGGAGGACTGTGCCAGGGGCAGCAGGGCGGGCAGCTGCGTGGCGGACAGGAGCGGCGTGTCGGTGGACGACTTCACCCCTCCTGCCTCTGGCGCCTGCAAGTTCATCGGCTCCCTCCACTCGTACAGCTTTTCCTCCAAGCACGCCAGGGAGAGGCCGGCTCTCCCCAAAGAGCAGCTAGAAAGGAAAAGACCAAAGAGAGACGTGGAACCGAGCTGCAGCAGCCACCTTTTGGGACACGATAAGGCCGTGGCAGAAGTGTCCCCGACGTCATCCCTCACCGCCACCCCCCAAAAACCCTCGCAGGGTCCGTCGGCGTCACCGGCGGACCTGACCCCTCGGCCGGCCACCGAGGCCGTGGTGGGACAGAAGGGTGACACGGACGCCAACCCCATGTCCATCAACGAGGTGATCATGTCGGCCTCGGGGGCCTGCAAGCTCATCGACTCGCTGCACTCGTACTGCTTCTCCTCCCGGCAGAGCAAGAGCCAGGTGTGCTGCTTGAGGGAGCAGGTGGAGAAGAAGAACGGAGAGCTGAAACTTCTGAGGCAGAGGGTCAGCCGCTCCGACAGCCAAGTCAGGAAGCTGAAGGAGAAGCTGGATGAGATGAAGCGGAACAGTTTCCCTTACTTGAACAGCCCGATATCCCAGGACTGTGGTCAGTATTCCCAGGGGTGCTGCACTGAGGTGGAATTTCCTGTTTTCATAGTAAAGGTGTCATGGTTAAAAGGTATTAGAAAGGGACATTTTGGGAAGGAGAAGTAGCAGCTTGTATCAGACCAATGGATACATATTAAAGAATTCGCTTTATGGGCACACAGATTGGTTCTTATATCCCTAACCTTTCCAACATGTGGAATGGGAAGTTAGGTCGTGGCATTGMAGGCAACTCTCTTGATGAATTTATTTTCTTTCTGGATTGTCTTAACTTGTTTTTGGCTCAGTGACTCCTGTTGGGATTTTCCTTCTTCCTTTGGAGCGTGTCTGTGATTTTTTTTTTTTTTTGTGTTAATGAGCTGTCCTAGCAGCAGGTATCTGGGAAAGCTGTTGTTGTCTTCAGTGGCATGAGAAGTAGTTTTGATCTTGAATTTCATATACTGCATTCAGGATACAGGAAATATAAGTGAGGTGGGAGGTATCAAATATGACCATGTCGTGATAGACGTTGAGGTCACAATTTGTGAGCACGTCTGTGTTTACTTTGATCCTTTCCTCCATCAGAAGGCAGAAGAAGTCTGGAAGCAGATAATAAAGCAGGGAGTGATGAAGAATGCTTCTCTATCAATTGAAAAATAATAATTCAGCACCTGAAAGCATAGAGAAGCTCAGTGAGGGATGAGGTCATGTAAAAAGTTTGTTGCATAGAGATCAAATTGGGCCATAACCTTCCTTCTTGCAAGAAAAAGTGTCTTTTAATGTCCACTTTGTGCATAGTGACCGTGGTCGCAAGGTGCAATTTAGGGCAAGAATTTAGGACCATCTAATAGTGGTTTGTGTGTGGCTGCTGAGAAAACATGGGGTTGCCTTGGGAAGGATTTGTGACGTGGGGCTTGCTTGGAAAAGTTGTCACCCATGGAAGGTTTGGTGTCTCCAGATGAATAATTCTCACCTTTCCTTTTGGAGAAAAAATCCATGGCTTCTTCTGGAGCTGTTGGATACAGTCAGAAAGGTGATACTGCCATGTACAGGCACATTCTTCAGGCTGTTGTAGCATGGCCAGTTTCCTCACTGAAAGAGGAAAGTAGACCCTAACAAAATTCCGAAATTCATGGTATCTTTCCCATTTGTATCTAATTTTCCAAAGTACAGGAAAAATCTGTTTTGGGTTGAGGGGAAAAAATTTTCCCCTGGAAACCAGTATAGTCTTGTTTGTACCTTCTGGTCTGCCTTTTTGTATGGTTTAGGCATTAAACTAAGGAAAACAAGTACAATTTTAGGGTTCCATAGTCAGGTTTTATATATATATATATATATATATATATATATATATATATATATATATATAATATACATGTATATTATATATATATATTTATGTTTGTGTGTATGTATATATATATATAATATATTTATTTACATATTATATTAAAAAAGGTGTCTAGCCTTGTTGGAATACCTTCACTGACACACTAATTGCAGAAAGAGTATCTTTAAGGATGTTTTTCTTTATTCTGGTAAGCACTATGATTTTTCTGCTTTTTCCCAAGATTAATGTTTTGATGCGTGTCTTTGAGAAATTAAAATTTCATATTCTTGTAAAAGATATTCTTAATATATGAGTTACACATTCTATTTTATAAGGGGAAAAGTAATTTTTCCTAATGAATTGACCAATTCTTATCCATTCTGCCATCTTTTATCAACAAAACTGGAGMTGAGTGTGTGAAAATGAACCATTGTGGCAATTGTAGCTTGGCATGATGGGAAGTTTATATGGAACCTGTTGTCTGGGAACTTTTGTAAAGGGTTTGTTGGTGGCTGACTGGCTTTTTTTTTTTAATTTATTTTTTAGCTTAATCTTGGTGCTCTTCTGTTTTGCACTTTTTCATGTTCTCATAGTAATAGTTTGTGGCACTGCAAATAGCAGATGAAGTGCAGCCAGCTGCTGCCAGGCAGAGTCTGGTTCATGCCCAGACACTGAGTTTTACTTTAATACAAAGCTGAGTTAAGAAAGGCTTTTCATATTCATCAAAATACAGTGGGGTAGCACATTAGGTTAATAATAATGCTGGTCTTTGTTAATAGCTCTTCTCAGCTGTCCCAAATCATCTGAAGTGCGGTTGAAGTGATGGTTTTAGCTGTGAACCTGAGCCTGCATAATTTTTAGTTTCTGCTGAAGGCAGTTCCTTGAGTATAAGTAGCTGACTGAGCTGACTGTGCAGGTTGTTACCTGTCTGCATCCCTGACTTTCAGCCATTTCCACAAAATCCYGAGCACCAAAAACCAGCTTTAGGCCCACACCCACTGAGCAGAACTTCATTTCGGTGCCGGTTCTCACATATTTCTGTCTGATGAGACAAATAAATTTGTGCTGGCTGTATCCAAGCTGCAGCAGGCTGGGAAGAGCAGGTTGCTGCAGGATTGCTGTGCAGCAGTGCCTGCCAGCCACACTTAAGGCCGGGTGACTCAGGCTGGGCTGGTGGCTCCCAACTCAGGCTGTCACCATGTGCTTGGGTGGTGTTTCCCAACCTGTCTCACCAGGGGGATCGACTCATTGGTTTAGGAGAAGCCTGGGCTGCCATGGTGGCCTTTTCCATCTAAATTTTGAATTTAGTCACTGGTTTGGTAGGAAAATGTTCCCTTCCTTTTCATGGGCTGCTTCTGAAGTGCGTGGAGCAAAGGCTGAGTGAGGAATGCTGGGCAGAGGAGAGCGTTGCACCAAGCAGGACATGGTTAGGTGTAGCTTTTAGAGGACAGCAGGATGCCATGGGAGAAATCAGGGAGAGTCAGGGATGTGTCCTGGGGAARGCATGAGTGTTCCAACAGTGCTGTCTGACCATCTAGTGAGAGCATGAAGCTCTCGAGGTGTGCTCACTCAGACATGACATCCCTGCTGCTCCTTCCGCAACATCAACTCCTCTTACCGTGCCCCAGTTTGGTCTGGTCACAAAACTACATCTCCCAGCAGGCAGCAGGACCAGGGTCTTGCCCAAAAATGAGATCACTTCCCTCAAAGCCATCTTACCACCCTGCGCAAAACACTTTCTGGGGGCAGAGGGGGCTGGTGGCAGAGCAGATAGCAAAATATCTACGATTATGGCTCAGCATGGAGCAAACTCAGGTAGGATTCCATGGGATTCGAGTTTCTGTGTTCTTCAGGGAGGTAAAGCTCTTAGAATTCTGCTGCGTGGGCTTATGAGGGGCCTCTTCCATGCTGCATGTCTGTTTTCATGAAGGTCATATTAAAGGCAGGAGAGTTTGCAAAATGAGTTTGTGTGAAAAATAGTTAGAACTCTGCTAGGAATCTGTGGGAAATGATAATTCTTTCCAGCTTGGATTTGTCTTGGAATATTTGTGCAAAGCCAGCATAGAAATGGGGTAATTTACAGTACTTTTTACATGCAAATGAAGCATGGTCGGTGAACTTTGGGAACAACAGAAGGACTTGGAACACTTAATGTGTGGTTTTGTGCAGAGATGGAGTCCTGATGCCGGGTCTTCAGGGGTCTGAAGTGGTGTTTCCCAACGAGGTAGTGACAGATTTCCATTCATGTTGCAGAAAACGAATAGCAAAATCCCATTCCTCATTGGCAATGGTAGAGGTGCTTTCACCTGATTGAGAAGAATTGGACCAGCAGTGGGCCCATGTCCAGTTCAGCTTGAAAATGAAATGTGTCTGCTGGGTCATGGMGGTGTGCTGTCAGGGAAACTGCCTCTACCAGGTCAGGCAGCTGTGYGTTAACTTGGAGATAGATTTTGGAAAAGAACTGCTCTTATGCTGAGACAGCAGGTGCTGCTTGTGGTTTTCTTGTGTGCCCTACTGGGATGGGAACAGCTGGGGTGGAAAGCTGGTCATAGAGTGGATGTTAGAAGGAAGAAAGAACAAGGGAGCTATAAAGTAGASTGAGAGTGAGATAAGGAGTAGGAATGTGTGTGCATAGGTTAAGAGTGGGGCTGAATCCATGGCAGAAGGTATCTTGAGAGAGACTGGGTGAGATGTCACTGTGGCCTGAGCRTCTGGGAGGTGAACTGTTTTGGGCTCTGCATGGGAGCCAGCAGTGTTGAGGAATGCCAGCTTTGGGRCTTGGTTGAGGAAGGTGGCTCTTTGACCTCCCACTTGGACAGAAAGATAGTTGGAAGGGAGGAAACAAGACTTTTTGCACTGCAGTTGTTTTTTTTTCCAGTGGGATGGTCTTGTTCTTTCCAGGTTTTTTTGCCTGATAGTCTGTAGAGTTTGTGAGTTAAGCATTTAATTCMGCAGCGAGTCGGCAATGACTCACAACAAAAAAACAGCTTGCAGCTAGGAAGCAATGAAACAGCAAACTAAGGAAAAACTTGAGAGAAAGTAGGACTGAGTTCAGGTAGGGTGTTTGCTTTCTCATCATAGAGTGTAATTTTAAAACTGTTTTCTCTATCTTTTGTAATGTAGAACTCTGGCAGTGACTACAGGCGTGCGAGCATTTGCCACAGGAGCAATACCACCTTAGTACTTGGCTATGAAATTAATGACTGAGTCTATAACATGAAAATTTGTGAAAATAACAACATTCCCAGCTTTTGGAGCAGAGAGGGATGATCTGTTCAACAGCTGGTCTGGTGACACCTRGTGGGATGCATCWTTCTCAGGGGAAAAAYGAGTTCTAGCACAGGAGCTGGCAGRGCTTGTTGACAGGGCCTTACACTAGCTTGGAAAGGGGAAAGGGACAATGCCAGGGTCACCAGWGATGAGCAATGGGCTGGAGTGCCARAACTGGAGGAAAGGAGCACTAATGGRATGCCTCAATCTGTTTCACCAGGTGTTGGCTACAATGWACCACACCAGAAATGTTTCTGCATTAATTCACCCAGCATGAGGGTACCAGTGAGGAGGTGRAGCTTTGGCCCAGTCCCAGAGATCTGACATCACTGGCATAAGTGAAACCYGGTGGGATGAGTCCTGTGGTTGGAGGGCCCTGATGGACAGTTCCAGGCTCTTCAGGAAGTACAGGCAGGGCAGGA